TGGTTTATGACACTATATATATATAATACTATACTCAAGTTATAGCTCAATTGACGGCTAAGTAGCGAAATGTAACAACATCTGACTGGGTTTTTTTTAATCTTTTCTCACGACATGATGGAAATAGTTTCAATACTTCTGCTGAGTACTATGCCGAAATGTTTCGAACGCATGACTTACGGTCGCTTGTACCCTAAAGGGTACAAGCGGCCGTAAGTTAGCTAGTTAAAAATCTGTTCGGGAGCGGATATGGCTGCCAAACAAATTTTTAAATTATTACTAAAATTCAATACATAAAGAACTTCAGCCATCTCTTGAAAATAGTTGAAATTCAAATCAAAGTACTTTCGCGCGGCCCACATCGCGAGGGTGGAAATATTTGCTTAATATATAGTTTAAAACTAATAAATGTGTAAGGATTAGAGGAAAATTAGATTATTTAAATACAGTTGTGATGTGCATTCGGCTGGGTTACCATCAAAGTTTATATATTTTACAAGATAATTTTGAAAGGTGACCAAGCTGGTCAATAGCAGCGGATAGTACTTTTATAAAATGCTAAGCCTGCAAACCCAATTAATAAAAACATATTATTGCATTTGCTGATATGCTTGAAGCAAATTTGGCATGAGAGAAATGCACTTATATCGTATTTTTCTGCAGTTATATTTGAATTCTATTCATTATGATTTATTAACTTCAAATAAATATTAATGTTATTGCCCAGTTTTTATTTTGTATTACCTTAACTACCATATTAATTTAGTTAAAATAGCTTTCACCATTAGATTTCTGAATTTGCCTATCCTTTGTTCAAGCAGGCTCTTTAGCGGACATATTTCTCTGTTTTAATGTGTTAACTTTACCAAAGTTTCCCTAAATCAAAATTCTGCACAAGAGTAAAATACGACATTCATAACTCAACTATTTTTACCTGATTATTAAGAAACTGGTGGAATACATGGATCAATCATATCTTCGATCCAATAATTTGAAAGGATGACTGTTGATATTGTGATATTTGTGTTCGTAGACTTGTGTTCGTAGTTTGATATTGGTGTTCGTAAGTCTTGCTTTGACTTCGGATTTAACTTTTTTGCGATATATTTAAAATAATTTTTGCGTTTTCTAGTTTGATAGCTTAGGGTCCATCCGACAACTTTTGCTGTTCTCCACGTTGCTATAATAGAACCCAACACATGCTCGTTCAAAGATATGTGGTGTTGTTGTTGCTGACTGCTGATGAGTTGCAACACTTTTATTATTTATCTGTATTATTGTATATCACATATTTATGTGTATATATATATATATACAGGATGTCTCAGTTAAGCGTTTCAGAACTTCTAAGAGGGGTAGGGGGCATCCTGACGACTCGAAATCATATAGCAATGTGGGGTCGGAAATGCTTTCCTGAAGCGGTAACGTACACAGAAGCAGCATAAAGAAAAAAGACAGTAAGTGAAAAATCGCTATAATAATTCATTGAAAAAATTATATGGCCTCCTCGGTCACCCGACCTATCATGTCTTGATTTCTAGAGTCATATGAGAACACTGGTTTATGACACCCCTGCTGATAATGCTGGTTGCAAGAATCGCTGTAGCTGCCTGCGAGATATGTCTGGAGTATTGCAGAATGCTCAAATGTCCATGCGCCGGAGATGTGAGG